AAAAAAACGATTCATGTTATACTGTACCTGAGCAAGTAGAACATCTTATCTTACAGAATTATTGGGAAAATATAAAAAGAGATTGCACATTCAGATTGCAATATGTGTGGCCAGGCTTAGCCCATTTTTCTCAAGTCGCCATCAGCTAATCTAAGACTTGCTTGCAGCATTTTAGCACAGTAGTCCTCGTGTTTGTAGGCAGTAATGTACTCTTATATCACTTCTGAATATCTTATATAACTTCTAAATTTTAAACAATTTAAACAGAAATGTACATACATGAGTTCTTTGAATATATCTATTAAAAGTATGTTTACACACATTTTCAGCCCATTGCTGTAACATGCATATTGAGGTTTTCCAACTTCTTAAATTTACCTCTTTGGTATACTGTACAAAGAATGTAATGTACACCAAAAGCACCAAATAGGTGTGCTGAGCACAGAGAAATAGGTCCATGTTTATCTAAGAAAATGTTTTGCAAAACAATGCATTGAAAACATATTGGATTAGTAATGTGTAAACTATCACATATTAGGTTATTTGAAATATTAGAGTTTTATATCACAATCAGATCAATCAGCACATAAACCACAGTGTAACGCACATAAGGGCCCCATCGCATCTATGCCTTTTAACACACAATAACGTGTTTCAAATTATTTTTCATGCTAGTTCGCATTTCTGCTGTGTTTATGCATGCTGAACTAAACAAACAATTCAGGTGCATTTTGAGGAATCAACATTTGGTAATGGACCTATTGATCAGAATGATAGTGTACCTCAACATATGAAAATGTGCCAGCCAAAAACAATTAAGACACAGGATAGTGCAGATGAATAGTTATGATGCTAGTATACACTGTTGTAGTTTTAATTGCTCTCAAATTGCAATACAATGTGCTTAGTGTACTAGTAGTATGTCACACTGCACTGCTTTGGGAATATAGAGACTGCCATTGCTACATATGGCTCTTTGGTATATAGTGTGTGGCTCTCAGACCTCAGCAATGTGTAGTGAGAACATTGATTACAGTAATAGCATTGATCTCTACTAGCCTCATGTAACATGTTCACAGTTTCATGTTGTATTCTGTAGCATAGACCCAGCCAAAAATATAGCATGCTCACACTCTCTGACCCTCATTTCCTCTATGTGCGGCACTTTGGTGATGTCAGAAGCTGCGTTTGAGGCCCCCTATAGCTCATAAGTTGACAACCACTGCTATATAGCCCCAAAACTGGAGCAAGCAAAAGTCAGGGGAATATTACTTATCTCTAAACATGTTCTGGATCATTGACTCTGAATGTTTTTTAAGCTACAGCATCAGAATGGCAGCCAGGGAATTAGTACTTTTAGATGACAATGGCAGCCCCCAAGTCTCCTCTTAGAACACATTAAGAAGAAAATAATGCAAGCAAGTGTTTAGGCCTGAGCCCATCTGTTATCTTCTTATTGTTTAGACAATTTTGTCTTAGTTATTCAAAGTTTTTAAAGCTTAAAGGATAAATTCACTTTTGAAACATGTTACATGTACCACGCATTTTTAGTGTGCAACATATAACATGTTCCCACATCTGCACCCTGCACCCCTGATCCCCTTTCCTGTGACAGCACCCCACACTCACTGTCACATTTAAAAACAGCAAGGCTGTGTGAGGCTCTGCCCACATGGCCGGATCACTGATTCACAGTTTCCTGTGAATAAATAGAGCACATGTACCTTTAGCCATTGCAGCTGATGGCTTATAGTTCTCAGTCGGTGAGCACTCTGGTAATCCATTGATCTTCCTGATCTCAAGTAACTATGAGATATGGACAGACAGCTATCCCCAGAGTATCTTGCAGCAGCCTGAAATTGCAACCTCAATCGGCTAATTGCAACGCTCTGTAGGCTGCTAAGAAAAAAATAATAAATGCATATTTTTTTACCAACAAAAAATGTGCATTTATTTATTTTTTTCAAAAGCCTTTAAAGTGAAGTTAATATGCACGTGTGCTAGTTTCCCAACTCAGGAGCCCGCAACTATCTTATTCTCTATCTGTGCTTCATCCTTAAGATCATCTATGTCCCTGATTACTGGCAGCTATGACATACTGAGGAGTATTTGCCACAAAGAGCCTCCTATTTTTAAATGTTTCCATATGTAAAAAAAACTAGCAAAAAAAAACAGCTTTTTCACAGAAAGGGTTGTTTTCTGAAGTTACATTTTTCACTTTTTCTTCTTAAAGACTACTTTAGAAAAAGGAAAAATATTGTTTTACTAAAGGTAAACTTTATGTACAGTATGTGATGCAAAATCAACATTGTGATTATCACCTTTACATGGTACAACTACATACTGTAAGAAATATACATTCTTTCATCTGTGTATGTATGCAAATGTATATTTTATGTAAATAAGTGCTGTATATAGATCATGTCTGTAAACAGTAAATATTGCAATGTAAATATGAGGGGTGTTTAAGTCAAACCAGGACTTTTGAGTTTATATAATAAAAGAAAAAAAATTTTAAGGAGTGGAAACTGCATTTATTTTTTGACATACTCCCCTGCTACATTTATACACTTATCCCAGTATTTAACTAATGCCTGGAAAGGTTCGGCATAGAAAGATTTGTCAGTATGCCTGGACCATCCTAGGACAGCATGCTTCACTTCGTCATCGGTGAAGCAGAGAAAGATTCGTCTCTTGTGCAATTTCACGACAGGTTATGCGTCGATTATCCAGGATCAGGCATTCTACGCACTGAATGTTCACAGGAATGACTGCTGTGGGCTGGGAACCACCATGACTGGGGTCACCACTGATGGATGTACGGCCATCTTTGAAACATTTATTCAAATGTCTTACTGTGGCTGAGCATCTCATCGCCGTACTGTGCTTGATGTCTTCTGTAGATATCCATGAGTTTTAAATCTTCATTCACAAGAAACTTCATCACCATAGGCTGTTCCATGCACACACTAATACTGCTGTCTGTCATCTTGATTAACGGTCTCTGGACTGGCTGTGTGCTGCCTATCAGTAATAGGACACACTTGCCACTTACTACTGTATGTAGTACAACCATGCTGGAATGCCTTTTTAAACCTGTAAAATGAAAAGTCCTGGTTTGATTTTACCACCCCTCATAGTTCAGGTAAATAACTATAAGGACTACAGTAGATAAACATATTATATCTTATATGTTTTTCTAATCTAATCCTTATAGTTGTATGTAAAGATATAGGAACCTCAAACAAATGTTTGCTTATCAAAAGTCTAAATCATTGGTAGTGATGTTTCAGTTTCACATAATGGAATTGGGAAGTCATTACATAGAAAGTCACCATTAAGTGGATATTCTTTGGCAGGCTTATTTAAAGAATAAGGGTATGTTAGATATCATATTAACCAACTCCTTCACTGTATAGACAAGTCTTTTCCCAATCTTTTTACTCCAGGGAAACACTTTCTATTATTTTTAGGTTTTAGGGAAACCTGCTAAATATGATTTTATGCGCATGTACATAAGCGTTATCAGTAAGATCCAGAAAATAATATAGAATTTGGCATACAGGTATTATAGTGTATTTGACTCCCAGAGTGAATCATTTTTTAACTCCATCTTGCAATATATCCTGCAATTATCTTCAGTAAAAATACTGAAATGTAACAAAGAATATTGAAAAGAAACACAGATAATGACATTTTTAGTGTTCCCTCTTACTAGTGGTCAGTAGAAAAATGTTGGTCAGAGTAGAAATGCCCTCTTACATTGTTGTTCAGCAGAAGAAGGGCCCTTGCACTGATGGACAGTGGAGAGTTGCCCACCTATACATTGGGGGATCAGTGAAAAAGGTATCCCCTTACATTCGTGGTCTGTGTAGACGTGCCTATTACAATAGATGTCAGTGGAAAATTCTAACCCTAGCAATGGCGATAGGCATAGGTGGGAAATCAAGTCTGCCACAGCTCAGGAAACCTCTAGCAAATTATAGAGGAACCCAGGTTAAGAAAGGCTGCACTTGCCTGTGCCACAGTAAATTTTATAATGCTTCACACCACAGATGTTTTGAAATCCCTGATTTTTATTGCACAGCCTGCTCATAGCCTAAAGTTTGCACAGGAATCACAAGGTGGGCCCCATTCTCTATAGTACCACCCTACTGAGGTGTCAGATTGTAGTTTCTTGGGCTTATTTCAGGTGGTTTGGGGGGGTAAGGGTTGCCCAACGGTGCTTATAAATGCAACTGTCCACTAATGTCCATGGGCTGCTAAGGTGAGGTAAAAAGTACAGTTACTCATAGCACCAAGGAGAGTGCCTCTACTGTAGTTAGGACCAGTAGATTGGGATAAAACCAGACCAGTTTGGATGGGTACAATCAGACCTGATCCCTTACTGGGTCTTTCCTGAAAAGAAGATCTCTATTGACACTTGAAATGGCTGTGAAAGGCTAACAGATTGGCTTTTGTGTTAAGCTATTTGTGTCACTGGCTTGTAAGTTCTCTGTTTATTTCCATGGTGGATCTACCAGAGGACGCATGATACAGTATTTCTGTACCCTGTTCTCCCTAGTGCATTCTCTGTAGGTACTGTATATAAAGAGAATTCAAGAAGGCTGGTGACAAGAGTAGAACAACTGAGAAGCAGCATTTGGCCATTAACAGCGGTGTTAATTGTAGGGGCAAGCAATTGCATGTGTCCCATCCAGCAATTCCATTGAGGAATCAAATTTCCCAATTCCAGGAAAACCAGAGATATAGAATTTTAGTGGAATTGCTCTTTAAATTATGGACATGTTGTATCTCCTTGAAGGCTCACTATACTTCAAGGTGCACTTGAACTATATATTTATAGTGAACAGGAGTTTAAGAAACGATTTTACATATTTAAGTGCCTTTTGGTTTAACATACAAAACATCTAACATATATATCAGTAATATCTATACAGATTATAAAGTTACTCTCTAAATTAGCAGGTAGTCATAACAAGTTGCAGGTCTAAGTAAGATCAATACATGTCTTTATAGATTTCCTGCAGAAGAGGATGCAGTGATGCACTGGATTCAGTACGTTTGATGCTCTGAACAAGCTCAGCATGCTCTGTCACCAGTTGTCGTAAATCAGCCATCTTGTGAAGGAGTTTTGGAAAGAGGAAAGGTGCATCAGGGTGAGATGTCTGCAGATGACTCCTAAGAGCGCTTAGAATTCTTTCCTGGATGTTCTCTACCTGGGAAGGGCTCATAAGGCCTGGACGGTCTAGCAAGAAAAGAGAAAACACAATGTTAAAAAGTGGACTGAAATAAGACTTGAAAATACTGAATGCAGAAGAACAAATTAGGTTTAAAATACATCAGATGAGAGAACCTAACTGAAAGCAGCATGAGCTTCTAAAAACCAGCTGTAAAGGTGTAACATGCCATACAACGTATAACAATGAAAAAGTGATATTTCCAGAGGTGCCAGACTGAGGGGAAACAAGGAGGCAGTAAGTCACAATATTCATCAGACTGAATTAATTTGTATGTATGCCAGTCACATTTCTGAATCCTACTGTTCTGGAAGTTCTCCCAAGAGAATTTTGAGAGAAAGGAACAGCATCTTATGCTATGGTTTTCTGAAATGTCCTGACACTCCATTTTAACTAGGACCTAAGGAGACAGTAAATACATTCTTGCATATTGTGCTAGTGTTTTCTACAAAGTTCTGGTGTACACTGTCATCCTTAGGCCTCTTATACACAGGTGCCTGAGCTTGTGCAAACTAAATTACAGTATATTTCCCCTACTCAGAAAGCCCAGGTTTCATTAGTAATTTATGAGTAATAAAGCAGACAAATGGATCTTGTGCCTTTTGTTCTACAAGACCAAATCACTGACTGATTCATTCTAAGTTGACTTGGAGTGTTAAGGGACCTGGGCATTTTCAAGACTGTGAATTAACATGCAAGTTCAATTTTCCTGAATATATACGGTATGTTTATGTCTGTGGTGGTGGTAGGGAGAGCACACCACATGAATGCATTTCTCATTCACTGCAACTGGATGTCCCAATTTGGTAGAAACAAAACTATTCACACTAAAACACAAGAGCAAAGTTTTAGGTACCTGTTTTAAACAAACATATTGCTCTTGCTACATCTTTCCACTGGAGAGACGCAAAACAGAAATTATCTGCATTTTTAGAGATGTCAGCAGCAAGAAGTGTGGCATTTTGATATGCAGCAAACTGACAATGATTTTAGTGTATTCACCACCCCCTGAAAAATGCATTGATGATGCTGATAACACCTCTATATAAAGAATATGTTTTGATGTCAACATATTATTATATTACACAGCCAGTAGTTCAACTATCCTATAGGTTTACCCCTTTTTTTTAAAATGATGAAAACAAACATGACATAGAGGGAGAAATGTAACAGTAGGACATGATTAAATAATGGGAAGGTTCTAACCACCGCATAAGATGATAGCAGCTACGAAGAGTGCCAGATCACTGTCATTAAGTTCCAGTGCATTGAACTTGGAGGCAAAGTGGAATTTGGGTTCCATTATATGACAGAACGGAAGACGAAGGCTGCGGAGAAATTCACGAGTAACGAAGCCACGACCTCCAGCTACCAGGAGCCCATCCTTGTTCATAAGGGAGGCTAACATGCAAAATATTGCTTCATGGACTCCATATTTTAGTAGTGTGACTTGATCATTGAGGTAGAGAGAGCTGAAGCCTGGAACACTTTTTGCAAAGTCAGTAAGTGCACGTACAGTCTCCACTGAAGTACATTGGCAGCGATAAAATACATGAACTCCAATTTCTGTTCCAGGAGGATCCTGCATTGGTAACTGCTCCCACACTGCTCCACGTTCAGCCTGCCACAGTGTGTCCATGTCATGTATCACAAAGGGCTGAAAAAAAATAAATGTAGTAATTGATGTTAACAATCTTGTTAGGTGTACTTTTTTGAAATTTTGTTGACTGTGTTGTCATCTACTATAGCATTTACTAGACTTTTTTCACAAGGCTTTGCATGCTTGTATTAGATGCCTACTGGGTTTCACCTTTCTCTCACAAAAACATTTGGGGCTCACCTATCTCTTGTGGAAGACACCTGAGCCTCACCAGTCTCTAACAGAGGACACCTAGGTCCTAAATATCTTCAAAGAAGATATTTGGGCCTCAGCTCTCTCTTATGGAAGACATTTGGGCATTTCCAGCTTCACACAGAACACACCTTTGCCTTACTTAGCTAATATGGATGACCCCTGGGCTGCACCAACCTCTCACATATGAAACATGGCTCCCACCTATCTCTCAAAGAAGACACTTGAACCTCACCTATCTCTTATGGAAGACACCTGGACCTCACCAATCTCTCATAGATGGAACCTAGGCCTCTCCTATCTTGAACATCATTTGTGAAAGCTAATCAAACCAAGGCAAGAGGTGACACTACATTTTACTATGCATTACATGCATTATAAATTGCAAAGAAAATAAAAGCCAAGTAATAAAAGCTAGATAATACCTTAAAAAGAAAATGTAAAATACCAAAGTTGTTAAATGGAAAGCCTTTTAGATTTTAGAATTGCCAATTTCCTGTGTGCTAAGACAGTTTGAAGAACACAAAAACTAGACAGAGAAATACATTCTACTGAGGTGGTATTTTTATATATTAATTAGGCAATGCAACTATTGATTTATGTAAATACCTTGCCCCATGGTTAGTAGGTTAGTTTGCAGTTTCTGTTTAGTCAGCAAATTTCTCTCGTCCTCACCGATATGCTACTCCTGCCAGTTAGAATGTCCCGTGCTCTTTTCTTTGTCATAGTGAAAGTGTTCATATAAGAGGAGTGGATTTGCTGTGTTAGTGCGAGCAGATCTGACACCTGGGAGTCAGTTTTTCCCGAATCCATTGCTGATGTCTGCACCAGGCGCTTCTTCTCTGCTTCAGGCATTCGACCAAATCTAATTGCTGAAGGAGAGTAACAGAGAAATGTAAGCACTAAGAATAACACAACTGGATTAACCACTTGACCTCCGGAAGTTTTACTCTGCTTCCTGACTAAGCCATTTTTTTGTGCGATACAGCTCTGTATTACTTTAACAATTACTGCATTACTTTAACTGACAACTGCACTGTCATGCAACGCTGTACATAAATTAAATTTATATAATTTTTTTTCCCACAAATAGAGCATTCTCTTTGTGGTATTTTATCACCTCTGCATTTTTTACTTTTTGCGTTATAAACAAAAAAAGACAGACAATTTTAGGAAAAACAATATTTTTTATTTTCTGCTATAAAACATATCCAATGAAAAAATTTAAAAAGTAATTTCTTCATAAATTTAGGCCAAATGTATTCTGCTACATATTTGTGGTAAAAAAAAATACCAATAAGTGTATGCTGATTAGTTTGTGCAAAAGTTATAGTGTCTACAAACTATAGGACATATACTGGAATTGTTTTTATTTTTTTTTTCTAATACTAGAAATGGCTGTGATCAGCAACTGATAGCCTGACACAGGGTCACCAATGGGGAGAAGCTGGGAACAGATCTTTATAAATGTCAGATGATGGTTTCTTTAAGGAGCAGGGGTGGACAGACAACTCATGGGGCCCCCGGGTAATAGAGGATTATGGGGTCCCTGTGTCCTTGCCCAAACTAAAAAAAGCCTATGAAAAAGGTACCGGGGCATCTCATGGGGCCCCCTACTGACCCCGTGCCCTCAGCAGTGCCCAAGTTTCCAAATAGTCAGTCCGCCACTGTTAAGGAGTCTACTAATAGCAGGTTCCCAATCACGGGAGGTTGAGCCTCTGTTTGAGTGGGGACAAACTAAGTAACAAAAGTATGGTACAATTGTAAATATGTAAACTTGGCTTTCAGGTAATCAAAATTCAATAATGCACTGCCCCAGGTAATATCACCTAGTGTTTTAACTACTTTATTGGCCCAAATGGCTGGGTAAAAAACTGGGGAGACGGGTTCAGCAAGAGTGAAGAGGCCAGGGAGGTACAAGTGGATAGTAGCGAGAGAAGGTGCTGAATTTGCTCCCAGGCTTTAAGTGTAACTCTCATTGTAGTGGTAAAAAGAAACAGTATGGAGTTGTCTGTAGACCAAAAACTTCAAGTTCTCATATGACCAGAGCTTTTTTTCAGCGGGAACGCGTGGAAATGCAGTCCTAACACCTCCAACACTGCATGTATGTAATTGCAAGGGGTGCTCGGGTGTGCTGGAGGGTCTATTGATTCTGGCTGCTGGGAGATCCATTATTGCTGGCAGGGGTCTATTGTTGCTTTGGGCGCTTTTGTTGCTAGGCAGCAGAGATCTATTTTACTGCTTTTTATGTTATCATTAGCAAATTCCATGCAAATTACATAACACCACAAAATGATACTTGGTTCTGTATTCACTAAAAGGGGTGGTACTGGTAGGTGGGTAGGCGGTGGACCAAAGGATGGTGCTCGTAGGTGGGTAGGAGGCAAAGACAAGGGGTGACTTGGAAGGGGGGAGTTCCTGCACCTACTCTCTGAGAAAAAAAGGCCTGCATAGGGCTCTAGTAAAGCAGCCTCCAAGATGGCTGAATCCCCATCATCTCCAAGAGCCATCGTCTTGCAAAAGCCCCTTGGCCCGCCAGATAGTATTTATGGAGGCTCAGAAGGGCTAGGCCCCCCCTGACCACAGGGTTCCTGGAGTGCCCCAAAGCAATCCTAGGGGAAGAGTCGTCCCAAATAAAGGAGCTGAGCAAGCTACGAACTTTTTAAAAGAAGGAATATGGTACCCATATAGGAGCATTTCACGAAAAGTAAAGGTATACCGGTAGAATTTTCATTTTCATAAGATAAATTCCCCCCAAATGTGACAATGACAGATTCTGCCATGCATCTATCTTACATTTTAGAAAATCTATTAGGGGCGTAACACTAAGGGCCATATAATCAGATATGTGAACTGCAATACCCACTGAATCTTCAGGGTATTATCAGTGGCACCCCTGGTCCCAGGATCTAGGGAGAGGATATTCTATTTGTACCAATTAACCCGGAGGCCAGGGAATTTAGTGAAATCTCCCTCTGAATTTCTAAGCCTATCTGCTACAGATGAGCAAACAGAACTGCAGTTAGAGAAACCCAGTCAAAAGAGAGAGAGGGAGGCCTGGTCACAGATAAAGGAGAAATCACTGCATGTAGGTGAGTTAAAGTGGTTGTAAACCCTCTCATATGTCCAGTGATGTGAATAGCCTCATATGCTACACAGAGATTAAAAAAATCCTTCTACATATTTTTACTTGTTTATCTGCAGTCTTCTCTTCTCTACATCCCTTCAAAAGTGCAGAATTGTGATAAAAAATCCTTCATCTGTCAGTCACACAGAGGAGGGTGCGGGGAGCTGTGGTTAAAGAACTTGTACATTGTGTGAGAGATGATTGGAGGAAAGGGACACACGCCCCTTTCACACAACACACAGGAACAAAGGAACTTGCAGAAGTGTGTTCTGAACACTGTGTGCTGAGCTCCTCCAATACAATTTATCTCATGTGTCTGGAAAACTTCTTAGAGGTGACATATGCTGATAACAAAGGAATGAAGTACCAGAGAGAAATAGGGTTGACACCTCATCCCTTTAAACCCGAACACATATTAATTACACAGGTTATGAGGCTAATTTAATGCAGATAAGGCTCTGAGTCCTAAGTGTAGTACCATCTTAATCAGCCAAAGAACCTGTGTAATTAATATGTGTTTGGTTTTAAAGGGATGAGGTGACCACCCTAGTCTCAGCTGTAAATGAGGTCTAATAAATAAATAAGCAGGTCCAAATACTGCCTCAGAACTGTCAACCACACTGTGTGTGTAAATAGTAAGTGTTCAGTTTTAAAGGGATGAGGTGGCAACCTTAGAGAGAAACTACACTTAGGACTTTGGAGAGAGACAAGTAAACACTACAGATATACAGGTGAAACTCGAAAAATTAGAATATCGTGCAAAAGTTCATTTATTTCAGTAATGCAACTTAAAAGGTGAAATTAGTATATGAGATAGACTCATTACATGCAAAGCAAGATAGTTCAAGCCATGATTTGTCATAATTGTGATGATTATGGCTTACAGCTCATGAAAACCCCAAATCCACAATCTCAGAAAATTAGAATATTGTGAAAAGGTGCAATATTCTCGGCTCAAAGTGTCCCACTCTAATCAGCTAATTAAGCCATAACACCTGCAAAGGGTTCCTGAGCCTTTAAATGGTCTCTCAGTCTGGTTCAGTAGGAATCACAATCATGGGAAAGACTGCTGACCTGACAGTTGTGCAGAAAAACCATCATTGATACCCTCCATAAGGAGGGAAAGCCTCAAAAGGTAATTGCAAAAGAACTTGGATGTTCCCAAAGTGCTGTATCAAAGCACATTAATAGAAAGTTATGTGGCAGGGAAAAGTGTGGAAGAAAAAGGTGCACAAGCAGCAGGGATGACCGCAGTCTGGTGAGGATTGTCAGGAAAAGGCCATTCAAAAGTGTTGGGGAGTTTCACAAGGAGTGGACTGAGGCTGAGTCAGTGCATCAAGAGCCACCACACACAGATGGATCCTGGACATGGGCTTCAAATGTCATATTCCTCTTGTCAAGCTGCTCCTGAACAACAAACAACGTCAGAAGCGTCTTACCTGGGCTAAAGAAAAACAGACCTGGTCTGTTGCTCAGTGGTCCAAAGTCCTCTTTTCTGATGAGAGCAACTTTTGCATCTCATTTGGAAACCAAGGACCCAGAGTATGGAGGAAGAATGGAGAGGCACACACTGCAAGATGCTTGAAGCCCAGTGTGAAGTTTCCACAGTCTGTGTTGATTTGGGGAGCCATGTCATCTGCTGGTGTTGGTCCACTGTGCTTCATTAAGTCCAGGGTCAACGCAGCCGTCTACCAGGAGATTTTGGAGCGCTTCATGCTTCCTTCCACAGACGAGCTTTATGGGGATGCTGACTTCATTTTCCAGCAGGACTTGGCACCTGCCCACACTGCCAAAAGCACCAAAACCTGGTTCAATGACCGTGGGATTACTGCGCTTGATTGGCCAGCAAACTCGCCTGACCTGAAGTCCATAGAGAATCTATGGGGCATTGTCAAGAGAAAGATGAGAGACATGAGATCGAACAATGCAGAAGGGCTGAAGGCCGCTATTGAAGCATCCTGGTCTTCCGTAACACCTCAGCAGTGCCACAGGCTGATAGCTTCCATGCCACGCCGCATTGAGGCAGTAATTGCTGCAAAAGGGACCCAAACCAAATACTGAGTACAAATGCATGCTTATACTTGTTCTATGTACAATCCTTGTTTTATTGATTGCATGTAATATTCTAATTTTCCGAGATTGTGGATTTGGGGTTTTCATGAGCTGTAAGCCATAATCATCACAATTATGACAAATCACGGCTTAAACTATCTTGCTTTGCATGTAATGAGTCTATCTCATGTATTAGTTTCACCTTTTAAGTTGCATTGCTGAAATAAATGGACTTTTGCACGATATTCAAATTTTTCGAGTTTCACCTGTATGTGCTTTGTTCAGTTTTCATGACTGAGGTTTACAACCACTTTAAGTTGCTGATAGTGCTGCGAGCCCTGGTTTGCAAAGCACCTCCTCCTCCAACCAGAAAAGAATATCAATAAACTATTTAGTGTCAATGAACAGTAACAATTAATTGATATAATACAATAGAAGTTGTATTACTACTCATAAAGGGGGTACAGTGAAATTAAGCTAGAGAATGTGGGTAAGCAAAAGTTCATATTAAAAATTTCCAGTAATCATATTTATCTGTTCTGTTAAAGTACAGCCCACGGATTAAGGTGCAACCACCTTTGTGGCCTGTTCTTGGACTCGAGTTTGACATGCCTGTAATGGAAAATGTAACAAACATAAACTTCACAGAGTGCTTAACTCTTACTTAAATGTGATGGTATAGGAACAGCAATAGGTTATGTGAATGTAACTATGTTTGTAAATCAACATCAGAATGGATTCATAAATAAATAATTCAACAAGTAAAAAAAAAGAAATCAATTAATGCAAAGAGATCAAACGAGGTCACAGGTAACCCATACTCTATACCAGGGCTGGCAACACATCGATCACAGTCTACCTGTTGACCGCAGGAAGGTGACAGGTAGACCGCAACAGATCCCTCTCCCACCCCTTTCCTCCAGCCTCCTTCTCTGCAGCGCTCATTCTCAGTGCACAGCGAAGAGCGGTGGACAGCATGGCTCAGGACGGAGGGCAGGAGGAGGAGCTGGCCAAATTAACTTTACATATTAACCCACAGGTGACTGGTTGCTAGGTCGGTCCTAGCCACCAATTACCAGCTTGTTAATATGAAAAGTTAATTTGGCCAGCTCCTCCTCCCGCCCTCCGTCCTGAGCCATGCTGTCCTCCGCTCTTCACTGTGCACTGAGAATGGCAGCAGTGGAGGAGGCTGGGGGAAAGGGTGGCAGAAGACATTGCTGGAGGGGGGGAAGGGGGCCAGAGGTTACTGCTATGGGGAAAGGGGGGGCATAGGACACTACTGGGGGTGGGGTGGGGGGGGGGAGGTGATTTGCAGAGGACACTGCTATGGCCAGGACCACCCCCATAACAGTGTGCTCTACTGCCCTTCACATTACCCCCCCAACAGTAGTGTCCTCTGCCCCCCCCCATAGCAGTGACCTCTGGCCCCCTTCTCCCCCCCCCCCAGCATTGTCCTATTCCCCCTTTTCTCCCATAGCAATGAACTCTAGCCCCCCTTCCCAGCAGTGCCCACTCCCCCCCCTTCCCTCCCATGGACAGGTATTTTAAAAATCTGAATTCCCAGCAAGTGGCCGGGGATCAAGATTTTTCTGGTGCCCGGAATACGGTTGCTTAGGCAGCTGCCTTAGCACACCAGGGTAGCTGGGGGGCAGAAAAATCCCAATTCCCAGCCACTTGCTGGGAGCTCAGATTTTTAAAATACCTGCCTTCCGACGATCCCCTTTATTGTCCTCCTGGAGCAGCTAATAGATAGCATCTCCTCCTTGCCCTCCCACCAGCGTACAGCTACTGCAGGGGATCGGTTCTAATAAACGCTTCTCCTGCTGCTTCTCGCGTCCTTGTTCCTTCTTTTTTTCTGCTGCCTGGCCGCTACCCAAGTGCTCCCCTTTCAACGGGGCTCCTAAAGAAATTGTGCAAAATATAAAAAAATTAAATATGTAAAAATAAAAACTACTGACACCATCCACTGCCCTACTGACACCAACCTCTGCCCTACTGACACTGTCCACTGCTCTACTGACACCATCCATTGCTCTACTGACTGACACCAACCTCTGCCCTACTTACACTGTCCATTGCCCTGCTGACTGACACTGTCCACTGCCCTAATGACTGACACCATCAATTTTTAAGGTAGGCTAAGTTTGTATTTTTAAATACATTTGTTTTATTATATTTTTCTGCATTTTTCTTGCTATTTAGTTAGGCCTTGCTAATTCATTTTTTTAAAAATGGTGCTGAACCCCGGTGATCTTTGACCTCTTTCATGTTGTTCAGGTAGATCTCCACCTCTCAAAGGTTGCCTGTCCCTGGCTCTATACAGAGGTATCCGTATCCCTTCAAAAGCTCCTGAGAATCAATGCTGCCAGGTTGCCAGAGGGGGGAGCTTCAGGAACATGTAGAAAAATCACAAAGAAAACCAGCACAAGGCTCATAGTATCAGAGATAATGGATGTATTGCCCTTCTGCTAATAGTTTTGTGAGCGCATCTCTTTTATTCTTCATTAATATCACTGGTTTTATATACTGCACTATGAGCCTTGCGTTGGTTTCTTTGTGTTTTATCTTGGAGAATGCAACAGGAGGAGCTATCATTATAATGATAATAACACAAGGTGTCGCCAGAGTCATACCTATACACACATAGATCCTTTGTAATGTTGCATCATAGGCCCCATCCAGACGCATCCAGACGCACCAGCACAAGAGTCTCCCTATTATCCTGCTCCTGTATTGTTTCTGCCAGTGTTCAGATTGTAAATTCTAACAATCAGGGCGCTCCAATTCCTACTGTATTATTACTTGCCCTCCAGAGGATTTACCCTCCTTCCTGACCATGCCATTTTTTTGCGATACGGTGTTGCGTTATTTTAACTGACAATTGCGCTGTCATGAAACATTGCACCCAAATGAAATGTATGTCCTTTTTTCCCCACAAATGGAGGGTTCTTTTGGTTGTATTTGATCTCCTGTGTGGTTTTTATTTTTTGCGCTATAAACAAAAAATGAATGACAATTTTGAGAAAAAAAACAATATTTTTGACTTTATGCTATTAAACATGTCCAGTAAAAAAATTTTAAAAATCTAATTTCAGCATAAATTTAGGCCAAAATGTATTCTGCTACATGTCTTTGCTAAAAAAAAAAAATCCCAATACGTGGAAATAAATTTGTTTATGTGAAAGTTATAGCGTCTACAAATGGTGATATGTATGCAGGAATTTTTTTTTTATACTAGTAATGGCGCCGATCAGCAACTTATAGCAGGACTGTGGGACTGCGGCTTGCATTCTGAGATTGGGAGGGAACTGACTAATTGTCACTGACATCCCCAGTGACACTAATACAGTGATCAGTGCTAATAAAAAGCACTGACACTGTATTAATGGCACTGGGCAGGAAGGGGTTAACATCTCGGGCGATCAAAGCCCCAACTGTGTGCTGTTTGTGTCTTTCACTGTCAGCACATTGCTTTGTATTGCTCTGCTATGCAGGAGCTGACAGGGGAGAGAACTGTATTGTTTAAATACAGGTCTTTCCCACATCAGTGATACTCGCCGGGTGCCGGCGGGGAATCACCTTCCGGGACCCAGTGATCAACAGCTGAGGCCACCAATGCCGGCACGGGTAGGGCGCACACTCCCCCTGCCAAGAAATGCAAAATCACACATATATATATATATATATATATATATATATATATACACACACACACACACACACACACATACATACATACATACATGCATATATATATATATACATGTGATTTTGCGCAGCCCTGCCACCCTGTACTGTAGCAGTATTTCTGCTATAGGGCGGTGGGACAGTGGTTAAATTGTATGGTAATTGTACTGTCTGCCCTTATGTTGTAAAGTGGTGCATAAACTGTAAACTGTTGGTGCTATATAAATCCTGTTTAATAATATTAATACTTGTTTTACTGATGTTTAAGGGTTCATGCATACAAGTATCAGGTGCAAGTGTTCCTAGTGCTTTTGCCACCAAAAAGGGGTCATGAACCTGCATAGGATACCAGATCTAACAACTGGTTCTGCAATAAATAGTTACAAAACAAATAATTTTGGAGTTAACATAGCAAGCAGAAGTGTAAGAAACATGTGCTACACCCCATTCTGTGGTCCAACTGTATTAAAATCCTCATGGTATAGTAAATGGTGGTAAGTGAACTGGAGAATGGTTAAATATCTGATATCTGGTCATATACAAAATCAAGCCATTTGTTCCAGTGTATAGAAAATGCTTTGATACCTAAATGCAGACTTGCATTTTGAGTATGAAAATACAGTACATAAATGGAAACCTTAGCTCAGCATCATGTACACTTTTCTTACCATTATGGGACATGCCAAGGTTTAAACACTTGTTAAATCGGCAGTACTGGCATTTGTTTCGATTCTTCTTTTGTATCTTGCAGTTGCGATTACAGTATTCATACTGAAGCCTCATCCGTAATGTTCGGCGAAAGAAACCCTGTGAAGGTTAAAACACAGATACTAGGTTCTGGTAGCTTTGTTGTTTAGCAGCAATCTCTTATAGCCCTTAACATCTCAAAAACATCAGCCCAACCCACTTCACGTTATAAAGTTACAAGAGGTCTATACATCATCTTTAAAGCTGAATTTCAGGTATGGCAATTTTTAACATAGCTACATTGGTCCAGCTTGGATGTAAGTATGTATGTGTTATACCCATGGGATCACTGTGGAAGCTGGAAATCACTGTAGTAGGCACCACTACTACAGTAATTGCTGCTAGCTTCTGGGTTCCGTGCCGTGTAGCTGCAGTGCTGCTTACTGAATACAGACTTGCCTGATCAGCAAGCGAATAACTTGCATTGTCTTAATGAATGCAAGGTGTTCTCTGATTGGATGAGGTGGAGATTGTGACTTTGCAATGTCACCTCTCCACCTCCTCCAATTACAGAATGCTTTATATGCATTTAGAAAATGCAAAGTGTTCCTGGAGCATGCACACTGACCAGAGGGCGAGCTCCTTTATCAAAACTTTTGATAATGGAGCATGCCCTCTGATCAGTGGGCATGCTCCAATATGTTGTTACTTCACTTCTGACATCTGGTCTCTGGACCTAGGAACTGGATGTCAATCACCTGCACCACATGCTAACTGCTCCCGGATACCATTGCATTGGACTACAGATGTGCCGTAATCTATCTTTAAAATGTGAGTGTTCATTTACACCACTGTTTACAATTAAATATTAACAGTCTGCACTCAGTGGTACCTTCTTTCATTCATTGTGTGACATTGGATATCTGCTTCTGCTCTATTTTGGAGGCTGCCTTGAGGTACTAACCGTTTCGTGGTCCTTCTACTAGATCCACCAAGTGGCCTTTGTCCCCCTATCCCTCTCCCCCTCCCCTCCATCATGCCCCTTTTTATCTTCCCCCCCCCCGTGTGAATATGGAAATAATTATGGACATCTAATTTTGCACCAACTCACCCCATGTACAGTATGTAGAATGCTAGTTACTTGGATGTTTATGTAGCGCTATTTAGTTGGGTCCCCCTAAGCTCTGCACAGCCAGGCAACATGCATTTTCCACATTTTCTCGCTGAGTCAGTAAAAAAAATACTTGAGCTTGTTTTTGTTTCTATTAAGGGTAAACAACTTGGATGGGGTCTTGGGGTATATGGGATGCCCAAGGAACTGTAAAACTTGAGGACAACTTCTTAGCAAACACTGTAAAAAACATGGACCAAAATAAGCTAAAGTCTCTTTAAGGAGCACTGAGTCCCATTTGGTGTACCACCTCAGACACCCAGATGAATCCTTCCTCTTTCACCCTGCTGTCCTGAGGGTATCTCTGGGATTCCAAGATCTGCAATTAAGCAGTCCCGGAAGAGAACTAGTTGGGTACTGCACCTAACCTCCAGGGGGTGTAGAAGTATTCACACTGTCCTGTCCTGTTAACTTGATGAGTTGCAACTGCTTTCAGGCCTTATGCTGGGCTGGGTCCCTCCCTGCTAACAGGTTGTCCTCCCTAGGAGACTTGTGGTACAGTGGAGATCCTTCCGTCCAGCACCAGCCTGTAGATAGCCCCCCTCCCCCCTGGGGCCCCCTCCCAGGCTCCACACTCCAGCACCTTCTCTCAGTCCATCTTCCACCTAACTCCAACACACTCTAATATGCTGCTCAGACTCTTCCACATTTAAGGGTTGCTCTTAGCCACCATGCCTGGCCTCCTGCCTAGGGATTTGCCAAGTTCCCTTAAACATGCAAATCTAGGCCTCCTTCCCTCTTCCATCTCTCTTCTATAAAGTTCATCCAGTTTCTCAAAAGGGTGGGAGGGCTCCAGAAGCCCTGAAATGTAGAGCCCCCAGCCTGTCCTGAGGTAATCTCTCTACCTAAAGAAACCCCCAATTGCTAAACAGCCTGTCCTGGGAGTGGTACACCAGCTCATGCCATACCCCCTGAACAACATATAATAGGGGGGAAGTGTATCCAAAAGCAATAAACTACAAAAAAACCCACAAGAAAGGAAAACATACAGCACCTCAATGGCTAATGAACAGGATATATTTATTGGACGTAAAAAGTGACAATGCACATTCCATACATTCCCTCCCCCCACCGTCTGCCCAAAAACCGGCCCCCACCCCCAAAGAAAACCCCTCAGAAGGTACAACCTAACCCCAACAATATCCCCCTCCTCCACCCCCCCCCCCCAGTACACCCCCAACCCCCAAAGCAGACCCCTCCTCCCCCTCCCCCCCCCCACACACACCCACACCATCCCCCATCTCAGAAAGAGATGTGGGTGACAAGGGCCAGCCCTCCACACCTCTCCCTGTCCTCCCTCACTGTGCTGACGGGGACCCTGCTAAATGAAGCTGTAAACTATATAATACGTAAGCAAGTGTCAAATCCTGCTATAGATATGCTGTAAACCAGATCTCAATAAGCCAGCAGTGATATCAGTTCCACAAAGTATTCCAATGGAGAAAAACAGCAAGGCAACTGTGTGCCACATAAAAGTTCTCATTTAACTCAGTAGTGTGCTCTGTTTCTCATGTGTTCACAAGGCTGTTATCAGAGCTTAAAAAATGACATATGGTCGGCACTTAACAGGTACACCCTAGTAGCTGATAGACTCTGCAATCCAAAGGCCATAAAATAAGTGCATAATCTCTCTGCCTCACTCCCAGGCTGACTCATCCCAGGCTTCTAACAAGCATGCAGAAAAAAAAAATCCTATCTATCTAGAAGGTGCTACATCTACAACATTAAATTGTCCGGTTGTTTTGTGGAAGAATTTTTTATTTAAACAGCAGTAACATGGATATACAAAAACTCAATAGAACAGAATAGAACAGCACACCCTACCACCTATCTATTCTGGCAGTCTGTAGCTATTCCTGCTTTGTCTTATCACCTGTCTTCCCATACTTGACTAGTGTCCCCACTTTTTATAGACCTGTTTCTTATCTATTATTACTTATGACCATTTAGGAGTTTTTCCCTTAGCACTGAATGCAGGCTTATTATTTGAGCTGAATCTAGCTCCTTTTTTTAATCTGTATTGAACGCTTTCTGAATTTGGATTTTTCCCTTCTAAGCTTGTACAGCGTTAGAGTTCAGCTTTTAACCAGGTTTATTAGATAGACCAATTTCTTGTATCGTGTTGCAAATTATTTTGAGTTTGCCTGATTATCTGACTAGATTTGTCTGGCACCTTTCCTCCCCTGCAGCCTTAATCATACTAGTATTCCATACCTTCCAACTTTAAAATGTAAATCGCATGCCTTCCTACACCCGCAGCAAAAACATGCCCCTTTTTTAGCAGACGTGTGGAGGTGCCATTAATTCTTAATGACTTAGAAAAAGTTCTTATGCTTTAGAAAAAATGTGTTTTCCCATAGCACTATGCGGTTTCTGTGCAGCTGATGTTTTAGAAAAGGTGCAGGGACCTTTTCTCTGCATTTCCTGCAGGTACAGCAACCCATATAAATGAATGGGCTGCTGTGCCAACATAAATGTTGCCACAGGGAAACCGCAATAGTGTGAACCTAGTCTTAGAGAGATGACAAGAAATGGGAGTGTTTAAGCAATGCTAATTACACTGTTCAACAGGTAAAAAGTTTTGGGCATAAAATTAGCTAATCTTACATAATTTTGGGGTGCTGAAAACGAAAATGACCCTAAAAAAATGTTGATTGGCTCTAGTTTCCATGATATATTCACCCATCTAATGACGTAAGCCATTCAAAATTATGATGCAACTTCAGCTGCATATTGCGCAATTGATACTGGTGACCAATAGAAAATTGCATGTATACTGAGATGATGCAATATTAGCCTTTAATTGCATCACTTCACTGCATAAAAGCTGCAGTATCTGTAGCCGATTGTAGTTCGACAGCATCTTTACATTTCGTTTTATGCTTATATAGGCTACTCAGTAATGCCTCGAACTTGTGTGAATAAAGCAGATAATTTCTGCTATATCTGCGGTGAAATAACTTTTATCTCACAAAAAAGGAGGATAACAGGAATGATTAAGAAAGCCTACAACTTGTATTTTGGCTGCAAGATAGGAGACCAGGACAAGAGCTGGGCACCACATATATGCTGCAATTCTTGTGGGATGGCACTGGAGCAATGGTTGAATGGAAAAAAGGCATCTATGCCTTTCGCTGTGCCAATGATTTGGAGAGAGCCAACAGATCATGTTAGTAATTGTTACTTTTGTATGGTGCCTCCAATTGTAAAAGGGCTAAATAAGAAGAAAAAGTTATCTGTGCACTATCCAAATATTCCATCGGCAATACGTCCAGTTCCTCATGGAGAGGGGCTACCAATTCCTAAAGCACCAGAATCCTTCGTGGTTGAGTCAAGTGAGGAAGAACCTGAAGCGTGTAGTCACTGTCAGGGCAGGAACGCTGGAATGGGCAGGCAGACCTATGGTACGGTCACGCTGCGACTGACGACAGCCACTACCCACAGACCAGAGTCCCTCAGGGCGCGGAGTCTAAGCCCCAGGCTACCCTTCACACCAGGGCCCCTGATGGTGGGGATGGACTTGACGCAGCCTGAGACCAGGTCGCGGCCCCCGAGTGACCCCAGCTGCGATAACGACTGCCGCCAATGGCGTACAGCTGTGGGAGCTAGATGGGAACACGAGTAGAGTAGTCAGACAAGCCGGGTCAATAACAACGGAGCAGACAGTACTAGACAGTAGGCAAAGAATACTCAGGTCACGGGCCGGGTTCAGCAACGGGAGGTCAGGTAAAGGGTTAACGCAGAGAGTAGTCTTGTCCAAGCCGAGTCGGTTACCAGGAGAGCAATGGGAACAACACAAGAGCTTGCAACAGGGCAACATACAGGACACAAGTGCAGAGCACACTTGCAGACAGGAGGTTTAAATGTGCTCAACCACACCCTTCTGAGGAGGAGCCGCAGAAGCCTGAAGGCATAAAGGTTCCCACCATGCTTTGCAGAAAACCAAGAT